CCACCCCCTCCCACCTGCCCACCCCCTGTGCCTATTGTACATCATTTCTTTTTGCTGTCACCATTTGACAGCTGAATCAGAGAAGTGGGAGGAAGCGAGAGAGAGGATGCGAGTGCGTGTGTCGGGGGCCGGGAAGGGAAGGGTGTTTGGAAAGTCACAAGGTAAGAGGAGACCAGAAGCAAGCATGAACCGGCTGGGCTGCTGGCCAGCAAGGGACCTTTGGTGGCCAGGCGGGGGCTGGGGACAGTGGAGTCTTGATATTGGGGGACCACTCCCCAGACTCCAGATGTCCAGGAACCCCAGTGGCGAAGAGGACATGGGAGCTCCCTGGTGTGAGGTCCAGAGGCTGTCCATTCTCAGTAAGTTTCTTGAGTCAGTATTGGGGTTCTGGGAGGAGGCCTAGAAGGCATTGGTAACCAGGGGGACACCCCCCCGACTCTCCTATAAGTTGTCACTGTGTTCTGCACATCCCTGGCTGGCCCGTTCTCAAGAGCTGGACCTCAGGAGCTCAGGGCCCGGGGATGACCTTTCCTCCTGGGCCTTGCTCACTTCCTCACTGGGAGTAAGAATTCCATCCTCATCTCTTCCGTAGCCCTCCCCAAGTCTCTGTCACACTGACAGATGTAGCTCGAATGCCCAGCAAACAGGCAGAGGTTGGATGTGACAAAGCCCCAGAGAAGGGACACCTCAGAAGGAAAATGAGGTGGTCAGGGAAGGCCCAGGCCTCAGGGCGCTGGGTCTCGGGTGACTGCCATCCTGCCCCCAGAGGTGCAGGCAGAAGCATCGACCCCTGGTGGCAGCCAGTGGCAGCAGGCGCAGGAGGGCAGCGTGCAGCTGGGGTGTGCGTGGGTGGCAGCGAGGAGGGGCGGAGGGAGGAAGCTGGCTTCCTGAAGCCTTCTCAGCCCTCAAAGACAGACCGATAGACAGACAGCTGGCAAGACAGCCTGGGGGACACAGCTGTTTCAGTGAGTACTGAGTGGGGGTAGTGGAAGCCCCATAGCTCTGGGTGGCGTGGACCCTGGTGGAGACGGACATGGGAGGGCATCCTGGAGGAAGGGATAAGAAAGGGTGTGTTGGGTGCACCTGTGCCCGTCCAGGGAACGGGAGCTGACGTATCAGGTGTTCCTGGGCTGGGGTGGCTGGGAGGCTGCAGGGAGAGTGAGGAGAGAAGATGCTGAGGGGCCCCCACCTGAGCCACTCCACCACCCACATCTGCAACAGCCAGCCTGTGCCCTCAACTCGTGCCAGCGCACTGGGCTCCTCCCCTGCCCCTACTGGGTAGTGAGACCCTGAAAGACGGAGCCTGCCCCACCAGAGGAGGTGGCCCAAACCCCTCCAAACCCCTCGTCAAGCCCTGAGCTGTCGCCTCACCATGCGCTGTCGCTCAAGGGTTTGGTGAGGCCATTTCCTGTGACGGTTACAGAGGCGGGAATGGGGGGGATGGGCAGGAGGAGGAAGGAAACACCCCCAGTCTACCTCCATGGACAGGGACCCCAGAAACCAGCAATAAACTTGAGCAAGGGACTGTGCAGTGAGGAACAGGCCCAGCTGGTAGTCCACAGTCCTGTGTGTGCGTGTGGGTCCCCAATGGGTTCCAACTGCAAGGCCTCAGATTCCTCATTTGGGTGAGAGAAGGTGTGCTGACAAGACTTAGAGGAGCTTTCCAGACCTTTCTCTCCTCTGTCGATGTGGAAGGCATATTTATTTCTTCCATTGCTATCTCTGTCTATCTCTGTGTGTCTCTCTCTTTTGAGTGCCCAGCATAAAGCCGAGGTACTCTGGGTCTACAAGCTCCTTCTCTCCCTCCCTCTGGATTCCATCCTGTCTTCATCCAAGCTCTCCATTCTTCATCTTGCTCCTCACCTAATCCCAGTTGGACCCCTGCCCTGAGTCACACTACAGAGACCCTGCTTTCCCCTGGTGAAACTGAGGTAGCTTCTTGAGGCTACACCCCATTGGAAACAGCCACGCCACAGGACCAAAGGCTGCTCTGTAGTTGACCAGCTGGGTAGGGCAGAGGTCAGCCGCTGAGGAGCTGTGTCTTTTCAGGCGAACCCCATGGCTGAGTGAGCCTCCCCTGGGCCCTCCCCCCACTGCAGCATGGTCCAGGCCTGTGGGGGGCGCTCCAGTGCACAGCCGCTGACGGACTGTTTGGGGGCAGCCATGACCCAGCCTCCACCGGCCAAAGCACCAGCCAAGAAGCATGTGCGTCTGCAGGAGAGGTAAGCTCTCTCCCAGAAGACAGGACTGGAAGGTGCTCCCTCTCCTCCACCTGCCCCTTCAGACAGTGCAGAGGACACACAGTTGTTGACTTCACTAAGGAATGGAAACCAGTTGTGTTCATTTGCATGTCTGGGGCCCAAGGTTTCATGTCAACCTCAGCCAGCTCCCCAAATGCTAGGCTGGTTTGAGCTGTCCTGGAGGCAAGGCCCTGAGCCTCTTTGGGAAGGGAAGAAGGGTCAAGCCCCAAACTGAACCATAAGGACCTCATGGACGGAAGCTTTCACCATCCCTGTTCTGGGAAGATGGGGTGCAGACTGAGGCCCTCGATTAATGCAGCCTCTGGCTCCAGGGAAACCACTGTGTAATGATGATAGTAAGAAGAGCAAGCATTATTGAGTGCTCATTGGATATTGGCCGGCTGTGCCTACAGGCGGGGCTCCAATGTTGCTCTGATGCTGGACGTGCGGTCCCTGGGGACAGTGGAGCCCATCTGCTCGGTGAACACGCCCCGGGAGGTCACTCTCCACTTTCTGCGCACGGCTGGGCACCCCCTCACACGCTGGGCCCTGCAGCACCAGCCACCCAGCCCCAGACAGCTGGAGGAGGAATTCTTGGTAAGAACTTGGGGTCCACTCTGAGTCCCCATGACCCTCTGAGTCAGAGCGGCCAGCTGATGCCATTCTCTGGATACCAGGGACGTATTTCCTTTTGCAGGCCCTTGAGGCAAAGCCCCAGGGGTCAGGGGAGGAGTTCCTTCTTCTGTCCTCCACCCTCTTCTGTCAATCCATGCCCTAACTCCTCTTGAAATGGGTGGAAACAGAGACTAAGAGCTTAGAAGGGTATGGGATATTCACTCCTTTCCTCTCCCCCTGCCAGAAGATCCCGTCAAACTTTGTCAGCCCTGAAGACCTGGACATTCCAGGCCATGCCTCCAAGGACCGATATAAGACCATCTTACCAAGTAAGGATTGCGGTGGGATCAAGGGTGGGCACTGACCGTGAGGGTGGAGTTCGGAAGGTGAGATGCCAGACCTTAGCCAGAAGAATGCCCATACTTTTTTAAAAAATTTTTTTATTCTTATTTTTTGTGCGTGTACCGTTAAATCAGATCTGACTGGTACAGGAGGAAATTGTCCCTCCTTCTCCAGCAGAGCATCTGGTGGATTTGAACCGTGTACCTCTGGGATTGCAGTACAGCTTCTTGCCACTAGGCCACCAGAGCTCCCCTAAGAATGCCCATACTTATAACATCAGCAGAGGGGCCACAGGCTGGGGGATGAAGGGCAATCATCACGGGAACAATAAGTAGCACAAGAACATTTACAGATGCCAGGCATCACACCAAGTCCTTCTCATTGCCTTCTTTCTCACAATAACTCCATGTTGTCATTATCCTTTACTTAAAAATGAAGTGGGGAGCTCTGACGGTGTGGTCCGCAGTGTATTGGCTGAGCGACTAACTCAGAACCTGTGCATCTCTGGTGGTTCAAATCCATCAGCAGCTCTGCAGTTAAAAAAAAATGGCCATCTCCTCTGTGGGTGAGCTGTGGTCTCAGAAACCCAATAAAGGGTCGCTATGAATTAAAAGCTAATCTACAGAGGGAGCTCTGGTGGCCTAGTGGCAAGAAGCTGCACTGCAGTCCCAGAGATACGCAGTTCAAATCCACCAGATGCTCTGCTGGAAAAGGAGGATCAATCTCCTCCTGTACCAGTCGGATCCGATTTGATGGTACACACACAAAATAATAAAGGAAAAGAAATTTTTTTAAAAAAAAAACCAAAACACCTAATCTATGTACGTGAGGTTTTTTTAGAAATGAGAGGATCCCTGGTTGTACAGTGATTAAAGCATTCAGCTGTGAACCGGAAGGTCTGCATTTCAAACCCACCAGCCACCGCGTGGGAGAAAGACCAGCAGTTTGCTTGTGTAAAGATTGATTTACCGCCTTGCGACCCCTGCAGACTACTCCTACTCTGTCCTGGACACCATGGATAGGATTCAACTTGACAGTGGTTGGTTTTATTTATCTAAGAGGAAGCTGAGGCATGGAGGAATGGCATACCTTATCACACAACCCTCCTCTTCCTCCTCCTCCTTCTCCACTCCCCTCCACACAGGACAAGCCCAGCAAAGGCTTGCCATAATGGACGAGGCATTGTCAGGCCAAGGGGTTGTCAGGAGAGTTTTGGGAAGACTCAGAACTACAGAGCAGTGACTAGCGAGAACATAGTACCAGGGATTGACCCTGAGCTCTGTGGACCCCGTCTGTGTCCCTGGGGCAGATGTGTGGCCCTTTAAGGCTCTCCCTCACTGCCTTCACTGCCACCAATCAAAGCCAGTTGAAGTTGACTCCGATTTATGGTGACCTGTGTGAGCCAGGGCAGAGCCCTAGTTGATTTTTTTCCCCAAAGATCAACAGGCCTTTCTCTCTCTCCAGAGGCTGCTCTGGGTGAACACAAACCTCCAGCCTTTGTGTTAATGGCCTCTATGTTGACTGTTTGCTTTAAGCAAGGATTTCCATCCCCACAGAGCAGTTCTATCTGATCAGCCCCCCTCTGCCACGTGTGCCCCTCATCCCTTCTATCCGTGCCTGTTGCCTACGTGGGGCAGCAAAATGGATAAAGAGGCATCCTGCAATCAACAGAGAGAGGCGAGGTCCCTCTACCCGAGATTTCCCCTTCCTGTTCCCTCTCTCCAGGACCAGACTGGCCCAGGGAAGGCAGAGAGTGGAGAGTGTCTTCTTTCTTCACAGCGAGCTCTTCATTCCTGCCTGGGTCTGCCTCGAGGAAACCCCCTCTGACCTCAAGGGAGAGGACTGACTCCCCCAGGGAAGGATAGACTGAGCGAAGTCAGGGCTCTAATTTCCACTTCACTAATATGTAGTCTTATGCAAGTCACTTATCTAAACCTCATGGTCATCACCACAAAAGAAAAAAAAATGCTTCCTCCATATCTTTTTTTCCTCCTCTGTGGTACAATTCTACCCCACACTCTCCTCTCGATCTTGGGGCTAGACTCTTACATTAAATTTCCCATCTGTTTTTCCTTTTAGTCCGCCCTATATAGCACTACACAGCTAATTTTCCCAAATGACTACTACATTCAAGTTGCTTTAAACATTCTGTGGCTCCCTATTATCTGTGTGTGAAATAATTTGTTGGGTCCCAGATACTAGGAAAAAACATGCAAAATACTTGGACAAACGCTATACTCTCCTTCTTCTGACCCTGCTAGGTGTCTGCATTACCTTTTGACCTTTGACTTCTCTGATTTTTACTTCCTAGATCCCCAGAGCCGTGTCTGCCTCGGCCGGGCACAGAGCCAAGAGGACGGAGACTACATCAATGCTAACTACATCCGAGTAAGTGGTCTGACTGCGGGTGATCCCTTCCAACCATGACTGTGAGGTCCCGTGCCTGGGTTCCCTTCCACCTCCAACTCGCTCCTGCCTTAGCCTGTCAAGCTGGCATACTGAGAGGCCCAAGACACCCCCTAGAAAAACACAGCACACGCTGAGCCACCACCTGTCCTTAACCCACCGAATCACCCTGTCTTCTCCACAGCCAGTCCTCTACACCCTCACTGCCAGGAAGGTGGCACTGCAGAATCAAACTCCCAGCTTCTTGAGAGCTGGTGGCTCTGGGGTCTGCAGGGGAGACCCTCATTCTTTCTCATTTTTTACTTTCACTGTCTCAAGTAGCCCTTCCTTTATAGAGATAGTGTCAAGTCATAGGAACCGATAGACAAGGTGGGTTGTCTATTCCTGGCTTTCTCTCTCAGTTTGCCTTCAACTTCCTGCTATCAAGTTGATTCCAACTCATAATGATGCTTTACTGGGCTCCCAAGGCTGTAAATCTTTACTAAAGGAGATTGCTCAACTTTGTCCTCAAAAGCAGCTAATGGTTTTGAACCACCCACCTTTTGATTAGCAGCACAGTATGTTAGGCACTACACTAAAGAAGCACTTTCTAGTGGCGCTAAGTTGGGAGTACATTGGTAAGGAGTGCAGAGAAGGAAACACTGTTAGCCAGGTAAGTCAAACTCCCATTCACCAACAACATCTAGAGGAGCAGAAGTCTGAATTTCACCATCACCTTGTAGGGAAAAGAAGCTGAGAGTCCTGAAAGAGAGAAAGAAAAACTAGGAACTGTGCACTATATTTTTCTACTTAAAAAAGAGGAATATGCAACAGAGAAATGTCCATTCAACAAATGCAGGCATGTTATGCTTTGCTTTTCTGTGCTTTGCTTTTGCTGGTGATTGTTTTTCGTGGAACTTTGCACTGAGCACGTCTCTTAGAGCCGTTTTCTAACAGTGTATGCTCCCTTTGTGTCTCCGTGTCACATTTTGGTAATGCTCACATTTCAAACTTCATGAGGCTGTGGCATACTTAATGGATAATAATACAATATGAACATGGCATTTATATGCACAAGGAGGGGGCAATAAAACCCCTGTGACTTGCTTTATCACACTATTCACTTTGTTGCAGTGGCCTGGAACTGAGCCCGCAATAACTCCAAGGTATGCCTATACTGTTGAACACGGTTTTCTTGCTGATGTTTTGGGTGAGTAGGAAGCAGCAAGGGAGGAAGGGAACACACATTTATGGATCTGTATGTTCCCGTTGTTTTTATGTGCCATCGAGTCAGAACCAACTCACAGCTGGCCCTTCCCGGGGTTTATAGAGGTTGTGAATGGTGCAGGGGAAATTGCTCATCTTTATCTCATGGGGCAGCTGGTGGATTCGAACCACTTTTGGTTCAGCAGCCCATCTTCTCACCACGAGGTCATCAGAGTGCTCTTAGGGCTACATACTGGATGCATATTTTATTGATTTTTAATCCACATTTCATTCCTGTAAGGTAAATATTATTATGCCAAATTTATAGATAAGAAAATAAAGATTTAAAAAGGCTAAATAACTTGCTAATAGTCACACAGCAAGTAAGCAGCAGAACAGGTATTTGAAGTCAAATGCTGCTTACCCCAGAGCCTATGTTCTTTCTACCACGTGGCTTCTACGTGTGTGCGCTTGTGTACATATGTGTGCGTTCGCTGACCTCGGCATGCTTCCAGGGCCTGCAGACTTTGAGATCTCCCTCTCCTTTCTCATATCCATCCCACCTCCCCAGGGTTATGACGGGCAGGAGAAGGTCTACATCGCGACCCAGGGGCCCATGCCCAACACTGTGGCTGACTTCTGGGAGATGGTGTGGCAAGAAGAAGTGTCCCTCATTGTCATGCTCACTCAGCTTCGAGAGGGCAAGGAGGTAGGAGGGTGAAGGACAATTTATGACGAACTTAGCCACCTTCCTTACCCAGGGCGGCTCAGGAGTAGGGGTCCCCCCAGGGAGCCACATCTCTCAGAATGGTTTCAGAGATACATTCCTTGGAGGCTGTCTATAGTGAGTAGTGGGATGAGGTGGGTCATTTTTCTACAGAAGTCAAGCTCTGGGAAGCCAAGCCCCCATCTGCTTATTCAGGTAGTGCCAATCCCACCAATTAAAGCAAAACAAAACAGAACAAACTCAAACTCACTGTCATCATCTGCCCCTGGAAGATTTTCAGAGGCTGTAAATTACAGAGGAGGAAACTGCCCATCGTTAACTCCAGGAACAGCTGGTGCATTCAAACCACCTGGCTTTGAGTTGATATCCCAGCTTCTTACCCACGAGGCTACCAGAGCTCCCTAGAAGGCAAAAAATGGAAAGAGAATGCCACCCCTTTTCTAAAGCTCTAGCCTTGCTCCAGCTGACAGACCCTCCCTATTTCTGACTCTAGCTCCATTCTTCCTAGAAATGTGTCCACTACTGGCCCACAGAAGAGGAAATCTATGGACCCTTCCGGATCTGCATCCAAGAGATGAAAGAGTGCCCGGAATATACTGTGCGGCAGCTCACCATCCAGGTACCACCCTTTAGGCTGCGCCTGTTCCGCAGGGAAGCTGGGCTGCCCTGGGCATCTCTGAGCATCTGGCCCAACTTTCAGTGGGAGCCAGGGGCTCACTCATCTAGACCTTCTTGAATTTACATATGAAAGATGTACTTATGGCACAGAAGGACACAACTCTGGGCACTGTCCTCAGGGAGCCTCTAATCTAATAGGGTAGAGCCAACAAGCTAGCTAAGAACTAGCAGGAAGTACCACCCACTATACCAAATGGACCAAGTGAGAGGAGGTGGGGGCTCAAAAATCACGCTGAAGGAGTGATAGGAGCTTGGAAGAGACATAGGGAGCTCTCGTGGCATAGTCCATACGAAGCTGCACTGCTAATCCAAAGGAGGTGTGCCTATCCGGCTGTTCAAATCCGCCAGTGGCTCCACAGGAAACAAATGGGCAAGCTCCTCCCACGCAATCTGTAACCTCTGAAAACTCGCTGGAGGGTGAACTATGAGTCGGTTTCAATGTGACAGCAATGAGTTGCTTTTTGAATTACTGTTTTTAAGAAGCATTCTCTTCCTATATGGTATTTTACAAAATATGGAATTAGTAACTCATTAGGTGTCTCTGAGATGGTACAAATGGTTAAGGGTCCAACCACTAACTGAAAGTTTGGCAACACAAATCTATCCAGGGATGGCTCAGAAGAAAGGCTTGGCAATCTGCTTCCAAATTAGCGGTGGAGAACTCTGTGCAGCACTGTTAACACTCCGTTACACAATGAGTTGGAATCAATTCAACAGCAACCGTCCTATCAGCTCAGAGTCCTCAAAGGATCCTGTAACACACACCTGCAAACATAAACACAAAATAAGATAAGTGGTGGGGGGGGGGGATGAGTTGAAAGAGCTCACACAAAATCATGTGCTATTTTGAAGCCAAACAAAGCTCTGAACTTGGGCTTTTCTGCTCTTTCTGGACAATGCTCTTTTCCAGCATTTCAGAAGAGACAGTAGTGGAGTAGAAATGATCAAATAAAGGGCCCACCTTCCCCGCTCCTGGTCCATGAATTCCCCATTAAGTGATCCCCGCCCTTGTCCTCCTCTACACCAGAGAAGGTGTGCAGGGCCCCTACCCTGACCTGGTTCTTGTACTCGCTTCATCCCAGCACCAGGAGGAGTGCCGGTCAGTGAAGCACGTCCTCTTCTCGGCCTGGCCTGATCACCAAACCCCGGAGTCGGCAGGGCCTCTGCTGCGCCTGGTGGCTGAGGTGGAGGAGAGCCCAGAAGCGGCCACCAACACTGGGCCCATTGTGGTCCACTGCAGGTACACACCCTTCCATTGGGGTAGCCCTGTGCCTATCGTCCCCCTCTTTTCATAATGGGTATGGGTGAGACAGGGTCGACTCTTACGTGGACATTAACCTCCAGGTCATTCAGCAAGTGGTCTGTTCTTATTACCACTTGTATGCAGAGCCCAGACGTCTGTGCAGACTACTCAGGCCCAATACAGAGAGGGGTTGGACCCTCAGGGAGCATCTTATTTGCTGGGGAAAAGAGAAGTGTGATCTCTACTGTTGGGGGTGGGTGCTCATTTATTCACTCAACAAATATTTCTTAAAAAATATTTCGTTGCCAAGCACAGTGTTAGGTGCTAGAGAGACAGCTAGGGCATTTGGTTTCTGCCCTTATGCTGGCTCACAGTCTGGCGGGAAAGACAACAGATTGAACAATTAAATACAACATGGTGTGGCATGCAGGGTCACATTGCCTGAGCCAGACTGTGGCCAGAGAAGGTTTTCCAGGAGAAAGGACATCTAGGATAAATTAAGACCCAGGGGAGAATTAGCCAAGAGGACGGGGGAGAGAACAAATCTTCCAGGAAGGTGGACTGTTCCAGACAGGTGGAATAGCAGGATCAGAGATGCAAAAAGGGAAGAAGGAAAAAAAAAAGATCAGTGTGTTGCGGGGAGCAGGGTTAGTGAGCAGAGCCTGGGGTTCACAGAGTGGCAGGTAGTGATGAGAAACAAGGCTGGAAGGTAAGTGAAGGCCACTAGTGAGGGGCTTTCTAGGATTGGCTAAGAGTGGGGCACTTAGTATTTAAAGATAGTATTGAGCTAATAGAATGAAAGGTAGATTGAGCTGAGAGTGGGTTGGGAGGATGAGTAATGCAGGGAGGGAGGGAGTGATGTTCCATGATGTCAACAAAGAGACCAGTTGGGAATGCTATCCTAAACAAACAGAACAGAATAGAAAACAAAACAAAAAGAAGGGCCTTTCAGCACATCCACAGTGGTATCTGGGCATAGAGGTGGAGGCTCATTAGTGGCTTCTATCAAGGGCTCAGGCAAATAGATTTCCTGAAAAAGGGAAAGCTTGGGAGGGATTTTTCTTGAAATCAAGAAAGGCCAGTTTAGCGTGGTGTAGAAAGAAGCCTGTGAGAATGGCAGGATGGCAGGGGTGGGAAACAGAGGGGCTGAGTGTAAGCCGTGGTGGAAGATGTGTCTGAGCTGGGAGGAAGTTCGTGGGTAGATAAGATGGGCTCAGGGGTCAGTAGGTCCACAAGTGCGAGATTGGCAGTTGGAAACCACAATAGGCAGTTGAGCCAAAGACTGCGCATCAGAATGTGTATGTGAACAGGAGGTGTCCTAGAACTGGATAGAGTGAGGCTGGGAGGAGACGTAAACTCCTCCACCGGCAGCTATAACCTGCCTTCAGCAGGGCCAAGGGGACCAACAGCCTGCACAGTATTGTTACCTTCCTCTAGTCCCACACTCAATGCCCCAAATAGAGCATCCTTTCAGTCTCTATATGGGGCCTGCCTTCCATGCTCCCTGGTCACCGGGGCTCTGTATTCCCTTGGAATGTGGCTTTTATGTCCCTAGTTTCCATGTCCTTTATTCACCTGGCTTCCATGTTTCCTGGTGACCTAGTTTCCATGTTCTCTGGTCACCGGACTTTCACATTCCTTGTTGTTGTTGTTTAATGTGAAGTCAGAACCAACCCATAGCTGACCCTCCAGCAGGTTTTCAGAGGCAGTAAATCTCACAGAAGTTGACTGCTCATCTTTCTCTTGTGGAACAGCTGGTGGAATCAAACCATGTGCCGTCAGTTAGAACTAGCCTACTAGGGTATGCAGGGAGCTCTGCTGGCTAGTTTTCATGGTCCCTAGTCACCTGGTTTCTGTGTTGTCTAATCACAGGATGTCTGTATTTCCTGGTCACCTAGCTTCCATGTTCACTGGTCACCTGACTTCCATGTTCCCTCATCACCTGGCTTCCGTGTTCCCTAGTCACCTGGCCTTCATGTTCCCTAGATATCTGGTTTCTATGTTCCCTAGATAGCTGTTTTCCATGTTCCCTGGCCACCTGGCTCCAAATTTCCTTGGTCACCTGTCCTCTGTGTTCCCTGATCACCTGGCTTCTATGTTCCCTGGTCATCTGACTTCCATGTCCCTGGTCATCTAGTATCTATGGTCCCGGTCACCTGTGACTTTGCTACCTTCTCCCTGGCTCTGTCCAGTGCAGGGATTGGTCGAACTGGCTGCTTTATTGCCATCAGAATTGGCTGTCAACAATTGAAGGCCAGAGGAGAAGTCGACATTCTGGGCATCGTGTGCCAACTGCGGCTGGACAGGTGGGTGCACAGATGTAGACAGGGCCTACAACATTACCTTTAACAAGCAGCACCGGTAACTCCTGAGTGTCAGAACACGTGCAGACACATCGCCATCTAGCACTTTCTGTGGGGAAGGAAGGGCCTCTCTCTCACACACCACAGAGCAATCTCTGGAATTTTAGGTTGAGAGCCTAAAATTCATTATGTCACCCTCTAAATTTACCTTGAGCCTTGAATCCCCACCCCCCAAAAAACCCCCAAAAACCAACCAAACAAAAACACAACCTCCTACTTGGGAGATCACAAGCACTGATAGTTCTGGATACTAAGAAATCACAGGAATGGACAGAAGATCACATTCTGACCTGCAGTTTACTGTACTGTCAGTAAGTTTCTCAGAGTCCTCAGTTCATAATCTAGAAAGAGATACCGCCCCTTTCTCAGAGAACTCTTGTAATGAACAAATTTATGTGAAATTGTTTTTAAAAAATGAGAATGGTGCCACAAATATATGGAATTACTATTACCTTAAGAATGGTAGAAAGAAGAAAACGTGGGGCTCAGGGATATTCTTGGCCCCACCTAAGGGATCTGAGGCCCGGTTCTAGCTAGGAACTGTCTGAATGGCCAAAGGGGGCCATCGCCTCCCAGGCACCCAGACACAAACCCTGAATAAGGGTTGAGGGTTTTCTCTCCTGGGAAAAGGTATGATCAGGAGCAAGTAGGAGTAGAAAGTAAAGAGGATGGATAATTGATGTTGTCTTTGGAAAAGTTAAGACTTTTCCAAAGAGAATCCAACTCTGACCTTCCTTGGCTCACCGTGGTTTGTGTGTTTCTCTTACAGAGGGGGCATGATCCAGACCACAGAGCAGTACCAGTTTCTGCACCATACTTTGGCCCTCTATGCAGCCCAGCTGCCCGGAGAGCCCAGCCCCTGACCCCTGCCACCCTCCACCAGTTCAAATGCCAACTTCCCCTCAGACCTTGGAAGGTGGGTCTTGGGAAAGTCGGTCACCTTTGGGTGGGCTTGAGGGGTGAGGGCCTCCCTTAGTGAGCTCTTGAAGCCACAGGAAGCTGTGTTAGTAAGATGAGTGGCCTCCAGGTCTCCACCACTTGCCATTCCTCAATTTTCTAGTCTCCCCAAAAGGAGAAGTTAGAGAATCTTCCATGTCTTTCTGAACATAAAGACACAAACTGGCTCTTAAATTACAAACCTGAGACCAGGTACCTGGTCTTCTATTTGTGAACTTTGTTCTCCTCGTCTAAGAAATGAATGTTAAGTTCTCTGCTGTCATTAAAGGAAGCAATCAGAGAAGCTTCCAGAAGCCATTCCAGCTGTAGCCCCTTCCTGCAACTGGCAAGAAGATGATTCCAAGATCCTGCTCCACCAAACTCTGCCCAACCAAGCACAGGCCAGATGCAGAGCCTAGGAAACTGGTCCTGACCTTGGTCAAGTTCTCGATGTCTTCTTGCTGGTTTCCTGCTCCCTCCACCCCCAACTCTGCCCAGCTACCCACTAGTAAGAGGCAGAAACCTCCCAAAGAGAACAAGGATCCAGATGATCCCTGTTTCCACACATGTGTAAAAGGTAATCAAGGTTGGCAATTGAAATATCTGAAAGAGGAAAAGTGGGGATCCCCCTCAGAGGCCCAGAGTTGTAACTGCCAGACATTCACCCCCGGCTACTTCCTAAGGAGGTCCCCACATCCTCTGCCTTACTTCTGTGACCTCAAATGATACTCTGAAAACACAGGAAGCATGAAAGAGAGAGAAGAGGAGATGAAGAACTTGGCCTGATTTTAGACAACCACCGCTACATTAGCTGATATCTAGAGAGCGTTGCCATCCCCTTAAACAATCTGGGGTTTCCCAGACTCGACTCACAGTCTACCCCGTAGAACTACGCCCCTCACCCATCTCAGCATCGACATTATTTCCAGAGTACCCCATGTTTATCTCAGGACTGAAGTAAACTCATCTCCAAAACCAAACTACCCCAGGAAAGTGTCCACACCATTCACTGTCCTTGAATCCAAGACGGCTGCCTCCAGGGCGGAGGAAAGGGCCCCATTTCTCCTAGGACTCTGACTGTGCTGTACCAGTTCTTTGTGGAAACCCTCAAGAAGCTGGATCCTGAAAATCAGCTGTTCTTCCTCATTCGTTACATCCCTCCTGAAGAACATGCAGTGTTAAAACTGATCTTCGTCTTCCCAATGCTTCTGCTTGGCCTTACTGAGAACGCTTCCTTCCTGAGAGGACTGGGAACGGGGCCACCTGCACCTTCACCTTCCCTTACCCCTGTGAGAGGCACGTACAGTCTGTGTCAATGAAACTGGATGGAGAACCTTCAAGTGCCTGATCTTTCTTGGAGCTCAAATCCAGCCAGGAGGGAAATTCCCTCCGCAGCACTGTTGCCCCAGTGCTCTTCTAACCCTTAGAGGATGCACATTCTGGAAAAGCAACAATGTGGGAAAATAAAGACTTTGGGGATGACTTGTTCTTTCCTTCTTTTCATCTTCTCCTTAGGCCTCTTTAAAGCAATAGGAAAAATTAAGAATCCACAGATTAGGAATAGGCTATAGATCTTTATTGTTGCGGTATGCACTTTCCCCAGCACTTTGAAGGACCATAGGTCAAGACAGGCCAGAATCAGTTTAGGAACAAAGCTCCACCCTAGGAGCTAGAAGGAATTACAAACAATGTGCAACAAGCAGGGATAATCTGCAGAAGGAAAGTGATGATATTGTTGTTGTTGTTAGGTGCCCTCAAGTGGACTTCGCCTCATGGTGACACTATAAACAACAGGTCTAAACTCTGCCCTCTCCTTCACCATCCCCCAACCCCTGTCATGCTCAAGCCCATTGTGGTAGTGACCGTGTCAATCCACTTAATTGAGGGTCTTCCTCTCCTTCACTCACACTGTACCTTACCCAGCACCATGGCTTTGACCAATTCCTCCTGAAAAGACGCCCAAAGGGAGATGAAGCTTCACCATCTTTGCCTCTAAGGAACACTCTAGTTTCACTCTTTGCGAGATGGATTTGTTTATTCTTTTGGCAGTCCATGGGATAGTCAATATTCTTTGCCAACACAGTAATGCAATGTGTTGATTCTTCTTTAATCTCCCATATTGATTGTCCACTTTCAGGTTCATAGGAAGCAATTGAAAATACCATGACTTGGATCAGGCCCATCTTAGTCTTTAAAGTGACATCCTTGCTTTTGAAAATTTTGGAGGGGTTTTTGACCATAGTTTCCCCAGTGCAATACATCTTCTAATTTCTTGACTACTGCTACTATTAAGTTGATTGGATCCATGGAAAATAAAATAGTTAACAAACAACTTCAATCTTATCTCCATCTATCATGATACTCACTTATTGGTCCAGTGGTGAGGATTTTTGTTTTCTTGATATTGAGATGTGACCTGTAATAAAGTTGAAATAGTCTTTGATCTCTGGCCATAAGTGCCACTGAAGGTGGAGAAGACTTGAAGGACTTATTGCAGAAGATCAAAGATTATAGCCATCAATGTAGATTATAATTTACATCTCAACATTAAGAAAACAGAAGTCCTCACCTCTGAACCAATAGGCAACATTATGACAGACTAAAGGGAAAAAATTGAAGTTGTCAATGATTTCCTTTTCCTTGGGTCAAATCAACACACTCCTGGTAGCAACAGTCAAGAAATCAAAAGACATGTTGAATTGGAAAAATCTGTTGTCAAGGACCTCTCCAAAGTGCTAAGAATCTATGATGTCAGGTTAAGGACTAACGTGGGTCTGATCCAAGCATTGGTTTTTTTTTTCAATTGCTTCCTTTACAAAAGTTGGGCAATGAATAAGGATGACTGAGTTGTGGTGTAGAAGACTACTACTGAGTATCCCATGGACTGCTAAAAAAATCAAACAAGTCTGTATTTGAGGAAATGCAACCAGAAGGCTTCTTAGAGAGAAGGTGGTATAACTCTGACGTACATGCTCTGAACATGGCAGGAGGGGCCAGCCCTTGGAAAAAGACTTCATTCTGGGAAAGTTAGAGAGGATCAGAGAAAAAGAGTGTAAGAAAGAAAAAAAAAGTATCTTCTCTTAAAAAATTACAAAACGGAGTTAAGACTAAAATAAGAATCCTTTTCTGAAAATTACTTAGAGAAACTCCCTTGTCCTTGTATTCTTTTAGTGAACCAACCAAGGCCAGTTCCTGGCGTGCTATCATCCTCTGAAACAAAGACATTCCGAACATCCTCAAACCCTAGCCTCTTCCTTTCAAGCACAGGTCAAATTAGCCAACTGGGTAGGAACAAGATTGTGAGATCAAAACCTTTGACTAATAGGGTGAGATACAGCCTTAGCTTTTGCATTAGGGCTAAAACTCAAGTGAACCGGCCTTCAGTGTGCTTGTTGGTCAGACTTAGCTCTGCCCAAGCAACCTTCTGCTGAAGCAAAATGCCCTGCTGAGATGTTTTGTTCTGCTTTGTATCTGTTGCAACACTAAGCCATGTTTTTAACAATCGGGGGGCTTGCCCAGGGTAGTTCATTCCATTTGGGGGTGGGTTTTAGTCTTCTTCCCTGAGGGACATGTGTCTGGTTCTCTAGTCTCCGTAGTCCTCAGGTGAGAGTGGTTGAAGCCTCTTCAAAGGAGTGACTCAATCTAGTCTCTTGGCAATGTGAGTGAAAGCCCTAAATAAAACAAGAGCCACGGTGACCAGGTAACTCTGTTAGGCAAGGAAAGCTGCAGGTGTGCCAAATACTCCCTTGGTGGTTGGGATAACCAAGGAGAGAAAAAGCACAGGGACAATAAGTCCTCCCTTTGTTAGTTGGGACATTCTGGAAGGGAGGGGATGTGTGTGAATGAGACTTGCCCTGGGCACGAAGTAGTGAGTATTGAGTATGGAGTCCTAATCTGCTCTTCCGAGGTGACCTCATATAGCTTAGGGCCGTATCAAGTCAGCTGGATCTGAGTCAAGTGTTTATATTAACACTCCAACTGCTAATAGGTAGCCAAGGTTTTAAAAAAGGAAGCAGCTGGAGTCGGGCAAAATGAAAGTAAAGGAGTGCAAGAAACTGCCAGACAAAGGGGGATGATCCTCTAAAAGGAAAACACACTAAAGAAACTGGAATAGGAAACAGAAACTCATGTAAAAGGATGTAGAGAGATTCTTCCAAAGGGAAGCAAAAAAATACTAGTGTCAGGTATGTCAAAATAAGAAGGAAGCACACAAACTATTTGTCTACTGAACTTTTTTTTTAATTTTTTTTTTTTTTTTAGTACTGGTAGGGAAAGTCTTTGAGGGGTGGCAGGCGGCAGGAAGTGGCTGTGGGGCAGGGCTGTAGAGGTGGAGCAGCCCTACTAGCCGGTGATGAGAGGGTTCCCCAGGACCCTGATGACTGAGGCCCCACACAGGAGCATCTTAGAGATGTAGCGGTCCTTGTTGACAGGCTTGGACTTCTTCTAGCCCTTGCTGCTCTTGGGGACTTCAGTCCACATTTCTTTCACGTTCTCCAGCACGTTGCAGTGTCTATCGAAGGCCTTCACATGGTCCAGGAGCTTCTTGTTGTTGCGACAGTTGATGAGCACTTGTGCGGTGTTCTTGACCGACTGTGTGAGCACTGAGAGTGGGCCCGTGTTAACCGCTTCTTGCTTCCGCAGCTCCTCCAGGGTCATTTCACTCTGGCTTGTTGGGAGGTTTGTGGTGCTGGCTGCATTCTCGGATCACTCCCTCTTCCTCCACATTACCTCTTCCTCTCCTCATCTATTTAACTTTTGGACAGCATATTTTCCATACTTAGATGCTCTCTTACAGCCATTGGACAATGTCTCTAATAAAAAAATAAATTCATTCACATGGGGTCATAAAGAGAGTAAAGCCTTTGAAGAAATTCTGCACAATGATTTATTGATTGAAAACACCTTTTTTGTTTCATTCAAATTTTAT